GTCACTGGAGTGTGCGACATGATCAGAAGGGAGCTCAGGTCCCCGCTAGGGAAGCCCTGCGAGGTAAACCTGGACACACAACAGAGGCAGAGTGGAGACAACCTGAACGCCAAAGTGAGGAATTTACAAATTACTCAATAGGGCAATTCTGGGGAATCAATGCCTATTTTTGAGGCAAAGAGCAACCAGATGGGGACAATACTTTAGAAGAAAGATCTCTTGGGTGGGTTGAGCAACAGGGATTGAAAGGGGAGGGTAAGGGGAAGCAGGAAGGACAGAGAAAGAAGATCTGAGGCAGGTGGTAATGGAAAAGGGTTTGTAGGGAAGTGGATGATGGCGAGGAATTTCCTGGACTTGGCCACTGATTTGACAAAAGGGAAAAAGGAGACAAAGTTAAAAAAAATGACACCTCCGCCTGGTGTTTCTCTCTGGGTGACTGGTAGCATGGTGGCTCCATGAGAAGAACAAAGAAGTCTGAGAAGCAGCTTTCGAGGTGGAGGTGAGGGTTATGGATGGTAAAGAAAAGATCGCTTTACATCTAAACTAAATGCTTCATCTATCAGCTTAAACCACTGGACAAATAAAGGATTTAACACCTGACCCTTTATTTTTCATGGGGCCTGTGTTGCTGCCTTTTGCTTACAGTCTATATTAAAATAATTAGGCTTATCTTGCAGTTGAAGCAATATTATAATTTCCTGAGTTGGAAAATAATGACAATAACGATAATAACATGAGCAACAATCACAACAACCACCGTCACAACAAACCCACCAAGAACAGCGATTGTGCAGCCTTCTGTTGTTCACGATTGCACGAAACTATACTCATTATATTGCTTTCCACTCTTTGACTCCATGCCAAACTTTAGCCTGCTTAGGGTCAGAGCTTGCTGGGAGTGTGCCGCCTGCTATATTGTGTGTGCTGTACTGGGATCAAAGCATTCTTTCTCGTTCCTCATCTACCTCTTCTCCCTACTGCTTGTCTGCCTTCTCCTGCAGGGGGTCAGACTGGCCACATTTGCACGTCTCAGTGCATAGTCCTTTTATACAAAGTTTTCTTTGTTAATCAGGAGAAGTGAATGCAAATCCTCTCTCTGTACAATGAACTGCTTTGAGAAGAAGGTGTGACAGTGATATAATGACCTGGTGAATTTTCAGACAAGGAAAATCAAAATATCTTGGTTTATTTTCTAAAGATTAGTATTTGAGAGATGTGTGTGTGTGTGTGTGTGTGTGTGTGTGTGTGTCCACATTCTTCCTCTGGAAGACAATGTCATTATGCAATAGAGTTCTTGAATTCTCTCCTTCTCCATGTTTATATCTGAATTATCCTTTATATTTGGGTGTCAGAGCAAGATTTTGTTGTTGCTAAAACTTCAGGATACGCAATCTGTGTGTCTCCAGCTGGTTAATGAGCTTTAATACCTAACCTTAGTGGGTCACTCTCATAGTCTCTGGTAGGGCCTAGAGGGGTACACGTGGCTACCTCCCCCTTATTAGCCATGAAGCCAGAGTACACTGAAACATAAGCACTACCTTCCATCATGTTTCTAAGATATTAATAAAAACACAGTGGCTGCTCATTCTGCCTTTCAGTTTTACTTGTCATTACTTCTTGCACCAATCAAACAAACAGTTGGTAATCATTTAATGGAAGTTCAGGTAAGTTACAAGGTGGTCTTTTGAATAGCCCAGCAGTCTTTGGTCATGGATTATACTTGAAGATCTTGGACGACACACTAGGTAGTTATTAAATGTTAAAAAACAGACACAAAATGAAGAGGTCTGTGTTGTGTTTTACTTAATTTCTTCTTTTGTTAGCATAGTAGAATCAAAAAGATGGTCGCTTCATTTGACCTCCTCTCCATGGGAATAGTAACTATAATGGGTTTAATTAACTATGTGGCATTGATGTAATTAGTTATCCTGGTGATTATACTTCTTTAATAAAAGCGCTTCATTTGAGATGCATTGGTGTTCTGCAGTGGCCGAGCCCTACACCTATATTTCATAACTGTCTAGGCAGTGGAACTGTGTGAATATTTTACCAACAGCCCTTGAGAGAGGTTAGCTTGCATGGCTTAAGGTAATTGGGAACTAATGATTTTGCCCCTGGTTTCAGGCTCTTGCAGCAGAGAGCAGAGGCGCTGTGGGGGAGGGGTGGCCGTTCATTTTGTGTACGCTGAAAGGGAGGGGGAAGGGCTGTGTTTTGGAAACCATATGCTCTTAGGAACTATTTCTCTTTAAGCTAGCAGTCAGAGAGACAGTATCACCAGAGGGAACTGGGGGTGTTTAATCTATGGGTGGACTGCATAAATACATTTCAATAAATGTACACAGTGTATAGGGACATATGCTCATATTAACAGGAATCCTGACTGTACACATGTCTATTAAGAAACATGCAGTACATTTCGGTATTAAAAGTAGATCACTGCTTAGATTTGGTCAGCAGGTGACTGGCAATGTCCCTTTCACATGGCTCAGTAGACAATGAAGTCAGGCTGTATGGAAAAAAATAGGGCAAATATAAAAGAAGAAACATAATGCAAAAATTACCATATGAAAATGTTAATAATAATGTCACAAGAAACCCCAAAGAAGAGAACAAAAGCAAAAAGATTATCTAGCTGTGCCCAGCCCCATCCACAGCAAACATGGTGTCTGAATCCCCTTAGTTTCCTCACTATTCAAACTTGGGTAATGGAAGGGGAGGGGGGAAGGATGGGGATGGGAACAGAATGGTGTGGACAGAAGGAGGGTTTAGAAACTAGCTGAAGTAGATGCTGCTGAGAAATAATAGGCTCTGCAGATGATCTCTTTCGCAGGTAGAAGTGCTATTTCTTTTCCAGTCTGCTTCCTTTGACTCTCCTTCTTTTTTCAAAGCTATGCTTTCCCTGTCACCTCTTCCAGCAGCTCTTTATCCTGCAGAACTGTGTACCCTCCCATCCGCATCTCTCCCGCTTTCCGCTTTCTCCCTGTCTAGAGACACACACTGAAATCACTGCAGGCATTTGACTGCTTTGTGCAGCATGGCAAGGAACACTGTGGGTCATTCTAACAGCCAAACCCATAAACAAGCACCACTGAAAAACCAAACAAATGGAGAAGAAGTGCCTCAGTGGAGGTACCTGCCAACAAGACTTGTTCCTTTGCCACGAGGGATGCTCCGGCAAAAGCCTCCATCCCTCATTAAATCAATAAAATCAAGTGTCCTTTATTTTAATCCTCTGCACTGTAATCCAGTAGCAAGGAGAGGGGCCCAGGCTTTTCATCTCATTGTTTCAAAACAGATCGTTTGGTTGGAATTGACAAAAGGTTCATTCCTTTACCTTTGTGGAAATGTCAGTAAAAAGGCAGGTGCTGGGCATTCGGACTCTTTTGCTTAGTAGAAGGAAAAAAGGAGTGTGTGGGGGGTGGGGGTGGCATTGGCGGTGGGAGGAGGGATCTGTGACAGGCTAACTACATGTACCAAAGCTTTCTAAGACATTTTGTTTAGCTTGATATTGTGCAGCAGTGAGAAGAGAGGTGGAATCTATTGTGTGCCAGCTGCATGAATCACCGGATTGAAGTCTAACAGCCTCAGATCCTCTTTTATACAGTAGAGGGGAGATTAAAGCAGGGAGCTCATATGTCACAAAATAGAGGTACAATGCAGTTCTGGCTTGCTTAGTGCACTTAGCCGGCGTTGGATCCAAATTTAGCCAAAGGGAAAGAACGTGCGCTGCTATCAGCCAGGGAGGTGACAAATGTTGAGCTGTAATATCCAAAATTCCTTTTCTGTTTCCAAAATGTCATCTCTCCTTTGTCAGCTTCATTATGATTGAATCTATGTATAGTCACAGACCAACTGGAAACAAACAAAAACACCCAAACCCTAGATAAATTATTCCACACCTGCATCTTCCTAAGCTGTGTAATTGATACAGAGCATAGGGAAGTTTTGTATCGGGACTGTAAACCACATTTATCTAATATATATTTGTCGAGTGCTATGGTAAGTGCATTCTAGAAGCTGAAAGGGATATACAAGGAATCTAATATATATTCTTCTACTCTCCAAAATCTGGCAGACTTCTTAAAGAGATAAGATAGACAGACAGACAGATAGACATAACCATATACACACACTTTCGGAAAAAAGGCTGTGGGGCATTTTGTTAAATGTGGGAAGATGAAAAGTGCTGTAGAAATCAGAAGAAGTGAAACTTTTAGCTGAAACTTAAAAAAAAAAAAATCGAATAGAGAGTGTTTGCAGTACTCAGTACTTTTTGGAATCTTACATGCCCTGCATCATGGAGCATAGTGTATTTATATTTGTATCATTTCAATTTAATAGGTAAAGAAACTGAAGCCCAGAGAGGTAAGTAACTTTCCCAGAGTCATGCAGTTAATAAGAGACAGAGCAGGAATTTAAACTTACAACCTATTGCTGTTTTCTTTTGTTTTGTTTTGTTTTTATTTTTGTTTGTTTGTTTGTTTTTTGAGAGAGAGGGTTTCACTCTGTCATCCAAGCTGAAGTGCAGTGGCATGGTATTGGCTTATGGTGGCCTCAGCCTCCTGGGCTCAGGTGAATCTCCTGCCTTAGCTCCCCAAAGTAGCTGGAACTAGAGGTATGCACCACCACTTTAGGCTAATTTTTGTATTTTTTGTAGGGGTGGAGTCTCCACATATTGCCCAGGTTGATCTTGAATTCCTGAACTCAAGCAATCTGCCCCCCTCAACCTCCCAAAGTGCTGGGATTACAGGCGTGAACCACCAAGCACAGCCCCCAACTATAATACGACTTAAACTACATCTGCAGCTCTCTTGGCAAGAGGCTGTAGATATGAGTCTACAATTTGTCTTTGAGGCCCAGTCCAGTGTCTGACAGTTCCCACTGCCTTTCTCGCCTTCATGTGGGCCTTCACCATTGATTCCTAAGATCTACCAAATTTTTACTGTGTTTTCTGCACCTATCACACCTCTACTATCTGCTTTTCTTTTTGCTTCATGGAGAAAACTTCAAGGAAGATGGAGAGCCATGTAGCCCTGGCCATCTACACCATCAAGGACTCCAATTACACCTGAGTGGTCACATCTGCTTGCTGACTGTGCTAGTCATTTCTTTCTGAGACTTCCAGGAGCCATTCCAGGCATTCTCTGTTTTCAAGCCCTCAATGCAACTGGTAAATGATCTCATATCTTAATAAGAACATCTGACATGTGATACCTCATCTTCACCTTAATAACAACTTCCAGCTCCCATCTCGGCACTCCCTCAGTACCCTGCCCAGAGAGGTGAGTAACTTGCCCAGAGTCACACAGTTAATAAGAGGCAGGGCAATACTTTAGACTTTGCCAGAAGAGCTGCCCCTCTCCAGCTTTTTCACACTAATTGGTGGGATCACTGACGATTGACTTTGGAGTTTGTGTCCTTTTTTGCCCTCAAGATTTCCCCACTCTTTCTGAAGCTCTAGGTCTGTGTACCACTGCTACAATCCTTATTCAAAATCTGAACTCAGAGAAGACCTGATAAACACAGGATTGTAAAAATCTTTAAAAAGACTCAGTATTTTTCTCAGTCTAAGAGCTTTTAATATTTGTTTAATAGGAGAACAAATCCACCTGCCAAAGGACACATTTATGATTGCGGGGCATCAGGCACCACTATAAATGACTAAGATATTTGGGGGCAATGGTACTCAAAGCACACGATCTCACAGAGTAGGTCACCTCCTCTATCAACATGTACATGGACAGCCTGCCCCGATGATCACCACAGGGATAAATCTTCAACCTGAAGAGCTTTTTCCATTCCTTTTAGCTCAAGAAAGACGTCTTCTCATTTTTATCTGGCACTTTCTCTGGCTTTTAAAAAAATCTCTAGTTCTCCACTCTACATGAATACCTCCCTTTGCCTTCACTTCAACAATGCACAAGTTCACAAAACTTGATAATCCTTCATCTGATTCTGATGCATATTCTAACAATTCTGTTTATTTCCTCTTTTACTGTCCACACTTTGAAGTGCATACTTTAAATACCCTATTTCTCCATCTCTCAATGCCTGCTCATTCCTTAAAAGTTTGACTAACTTCAAATCAGCAAAACTTGGGGAAATGTACTAAGTCCTTATTCTTCTCTATGTCTTAAAAATTTAACTCTTTTAACAATCCTGTCTTCTAGAATAATTATTCTTGATCCTACCAAACCCTCACCCCACTTTAAAACTAATTCTTAGAATGCTGCCCTATCATGTTGAAATAAATGCATTGGTGATATAATTGTCCTACTCACACAGTTTTAATAACTCAGCATAATGCTTTAACTATATACAAATGGATTAAAGTAATTTATGATAAAATAATATGCATCAATGCATAGAATCATCATTAATATGATACAAATGCAGATTGATACAAACGTGATTCAAATACCATGAACAGCACTATTATAAGAAATGTCAATTTTTGGACTTTTAAACAAGTTTGGTAAAGATTCAAACCAAGCAAACTAAAGAACGACATAATAGTTGCATTTCTGGAAAATTTGGTATATTTAATAACATGTAAAAATATTTGGATGTTTATGAATAAGTTAGGTCCTAGACTAAAGTCATTTTAAACAGATCTTTTTACATGTATGAATGTCCATGAGTCATTCAAAAGTTTGTTTTGCTGCAAAACAATTCTTCTACATGTGGGACTGTCTGATATACTGCAAGATGTCTAGCATCCTTTCCTACTTCCCCAACACGAAATGTAAAAACGTCTTCCAGTATTGCTGTCAACCAAAAATTTCTAAAATACCTCTTAGTGGGTGGTGGTGAAGTACCTCTTGAAAACTGCTATTCTGTATTAGCTCAAGTTTAGCCCAAGTGGCATTCCTGTCTTCATTCCTGCATTTCTGATCCATCTTTTTCCTTTGGTGAGTTCTTGTCCCCTTTCTTCTAGGTAATTTTAATTGTAGACCTTCTTCAAGTCATGCTCCTTAGACATCTATTACTCCCTTTATCTTTCAGTTTCATTGACGCATGATGTATATACAATACAATTTACCTTTTTTTCTAAGTAGATTGTTTATTTTCTTATTATTTAGTTGTATAATTTTTTAATATATACTTGATACGTCATTTGTGAGGTACATGTTTTGAAAATATTTTCTCCCAGATGGTGGCTTGTCCATTTCTATTCTTAATGATATCTTTTTTTTTAAATTTTATTTTTAATTTTTAACTTAGGTTCTGGGGTACATGAGCAGGTTTGTTTTACAGGTAACTTGTATATCATGAGGGTTTGGTGCACAATTTTGTCACCCAAAAAAGAGAAAGAAAGGAAGGAGAGAGGGAAGAGAAGAAGAAAAGATAGATAATTTTTTTTTTTTTTTTTTTGAAATGGAGTCTAGCTCTGTTGCCCAGGCTGGAATGCAGTGGTGCCATCTCGGCTCACTGCAGGCGCCACCTCCCGGGTTCACGCTATTCTCCTGCCTCAGCCTCCCAAGTAGCTGAGCCTACAGGTGCCTGCCACCATTCCCGGCTAATTTTTTCTATTTTAAATAGAGACAGGGTTTCACCGTGTTAGCAGGATGGTCTCGATCTCCTGACCTCGTGATCCACCCACCTTGGCCTCCCAAAGTGCTGGAATTACAAGAGTGAGCCACCGCGCCCAGCCTACAATTTACCATTTTTAAGTGTACAACATATACTTCAATGCATGCAGCCATTTAACCCTCACCAACCAGAGTTACGATGTAGAGTACTCCCAACGCTTTGGTTTCCTCTGCCTCTTTCCACTCAATCTCCTCCCCACAAATCTAACCCCTTATAGACACTTATCATTTATCTGTGTCTAGAGTTTGACTTGTTCTAGAATTTCATGTAAGTGGAATCATACAGCATTTAGTGTTTTAGGTTTAGCTTTTTAAATTTAGCATAATGTTTTAGATATTTATGCACATCATGAATATAGCAGTAATATGTTTCTGAGTGGTAATTTGTTTATGAATAGTATTCCGTTGTGTGATGTACCAAATTTGTTAATGCGTTCACTTGCTAATGGGCACTGGAGTATTTGTAGTTTGGCCTACAACAAATAAAGATATTTTAAACAAGTAAGAAATATATTTTCATTTCTGTTGGGTGACAGTACCCGGGAGAGGTATTGTTGGTGTATATAATAAGCATATATTTTATATCATAAGAAATGACTAAAATATTTTCCAAAGTGTATGTACCATTTTGCATTCACACCAGCAATTTCTGAGCTTTAGTTGCTCTACATCCTTACCACCTTGTTAGTCTATTTTAGTCATTCTTGTGGGTTCTTAGTGGCGTTTCATGATAGCATTAATCTGCATTTTTCTAATGGCTACTGATGTTGAGCATCAGTTCATATGCATATTTTCAATTTATATAATTTTTTGGGATGTGTCTGTTCAAATTTTTGTCTATTTTCTAAGTAGATTGTTCATTTTATTATTTAGTTGCATAATTTTTAAATATATACTTGATATGTCATTTCTGAAGTACATGTTTTGAAAATATTTTCTCCCAGATGGTGGCTTGTCCATTTCTATTTTTAATGATATCTTTTTTTATTTTTATTTTTAACTTAGGTTCTGGGGTACATGAGCAGGTTTGTTTTACAGGTAGATTGCATATCATGGGGGTTTGGTGTACAATTTTGTCACCCAGTTAATCAGCATAATACCTGATAGGTAATTTTGTTATCTTCACCCTCCTCCCACCCTCTACGCTCCAGTAGGTTCCACTGTCTGTTGTTCCTTTTTTGTGTACATGTGTATGCAAGGTTTAGCTCCCACTTATAAGTGAGAACATGTAATACTTGGTTTTCTGTTCCTGTGTTAGTTTGCCCAGGATAATGGCCTCCAATCTATGTTGCTGCAAAGGACATAATATTATTCTTTTTCATGGCTGTGTAGTCTTCAATGGTGCATTTGTACCACATTTTCTTTATCCAGTCTACTACTGACGGGCATCTAGGTTGACTCTATGTCTTTGCTACTGTGAATAGTGCTGTGATGGACATATGCATGTACATGTTTTTATGACAGAGTTATTTATATCTCTTTGATATACCTAATAATGAGATTGCTGGGTTGAATGACAATTCTCTTTTAAGTTCTTTGAAAAATCAACAAATTGCTTTCCACAATGACTGAACTAATTTACAATTCGCATTAGCAGTATATAAGTCATCCTTTTTCTCTGCAACCTTGCCAAAATCTATTACTTTTTTATTTTTTAGTAAGAGCTATTCCAACTGGTGTGAGATGAAATCTCATCGTAGTTTTGATTTTCAGTTCTCTGATTATTAGTGATGTTGAGCATTTTGTCATATCCTTGTTGACCATACGTATGTCTTCTTTTGAAAAGTATATGTTCATGTCCTTTGCTCAGTTTTTAAAGGAAGTTTTGAAGTGGGTTTTTTTTTTTGCTTGTAAATTTGTTTTAGTTCCTTGTAGATGCTGGACATTAGGTCTTTGTGGAATGCATAGTTTTCAAATATTTTCTCCCATTCTGTAGATTGTCTGTTTACTCTGGCAATAGTTCCTTTTGTTTTGCAGAAGCTGTTAAGTTTAATTAGGTCTCTTTTGTCCATTTTTGTTTTTGTTGCAATTGCTTTTGGCGTTTTTGTCACAAAATCTTTGCCTAGGCCTAAGTACGGAATAGTATTCCCTAGGTTATCTTCCAGAATTTTTATAGTTTTAGGTTTTACATTTAAGTTATTAATCCATCTTGAGTTGATTTTTGTATATAGCATAAGAAAGGGGTCCAGTTTCAGTCTTCTGCAACTGGCTAGGTAGTTATCTCAGCACCATTTATTGAATAGGGAGTTTTTCCCCATTGCTTATTTTTGTCAACTTTGTCAGAGATGAGATGGACATAGATATGTGTCCTTATTTCTGGGCTCTCTATTCTGTTTCACTGGTCTAAGTGCCTGTTTTTGGACGGCATCATGCTGTTTTGGTTATTGTAGCCCTGTAGTGTAGTTTGAAGTTGGGTAATGTTATGCCTCCAGCTTTGTTCCTTTTGCTTAAGTTTGCCTTGGCTATTTGGGTCTTTTTTGTTGTTTTTGTTCCATATTAATTTTAAAATAGTTTTTTTTCTAGTTCTCTGAATAATGTCATTGGTAGTTTGGTAAAAATAGCATTGAATCTGTCAATTGCTTGGGGCAATATGGGCATTTTAATGGTACTGATTCTTCCTATCCATGGACAAGGAATGTTTTTTTCATTTGTTTGTGTCATCTATGATTTCTTTGAACAGTGCTTTGTAA